GAGCGTGGTCTGATGGAAGGAATGGGGGCGGCGGGAGGAGCTGGGGGAGCGGGAGTTGCCCTCTTCGGGGGGAGCGGGGTTGGGATGGAAGGAATGGGAGCAGCGGGAGGAGCTGGGGAAGCGGGGGGATGCGGAATGGGGGGGCGGAGGCTGGTGGACCCTCATGGCGTGGTGGTGGAGGGATGCTGCGCTGAAGGATGTGAAGACTGCGAGCGGGAGATGGACGAGATAGAATACGCTGTGCAGGAGGAGAGAGAGGACTCGCTCTGCTGAGATTTCCATAATATCCATCGTTCTTCCTAAGTATCCGGCTTCCCATGATAGTTCTGGACTGTGTTCTAAACCAACTCACAGCTCCAACGCTCACACCTTTGCTTTAATGAGGGAGGTTGGACGCCACCATGGAGTCCGTGTGCAGCAGGAGAAGCACAAACATCAGGAGTAAAAGGTGCAAAAGGGAGTTAATTGTACACATTTCTGCTAATAACTTTGTTATTTCGTGACAAACCCTCGTCTTTCCAAAGAGTCAGTTTAGGGATATCGTCTTTAAATATGGTAGAAATAATTAGTCCAGAGAAGATGATGATGAGATGTTCCACTGGATGAACAGAAAGCACTTTTTTGATACTATGCGATGATTAGAAATCTCTCACCAAATCACATTTTCCTACAAACAGGTGATTGTAACTTTGTAAATTCAGCCTTATACACCGTGACCTTTTAGTCTTTATGTGCTGATATATCGCATAGATCATAGATCATTTCTACACTCACAGATAAGTATAATCATCAGGACCTAAAAAATCTAAATATATTTAGTTGGCTTCGTGTCAAGAGAGCAAATAAGAAATGATTTGTTTATATTTGCCACATAAATAACTGGTTCGCAGTGTTTTTCTCTGTTGTTTCCCAGCGTACAGAAACACGATTAAAAGAAGATAAAGAAGATTACAGCTGTTAGAAGGATGCGGACATTAAGACAGATGTTTGAAATGCTGGAGATTACGTCAATGAGAGAGAGATGATAAAGGCTGTGAGGCAGCAATAAACTGGATCCATGTGTCAATACAAAGTAAAGATGAAATGGAGTTTTACAATTTAGCCTTTCAGTGCACTGCAGTGAAAGTGATCCCAGTATGAATCCGTCCAGTTTCTGTGTGTAACGCATGCATTTATGTAGTTTTATTTTTAAAAGCAAGGCTGCAGCCTCTATTTGCAGCTTCTTGTTGCACTTTGAGTTTAAGGAACGTTTCAATGACACATATTGAGGATGTATTTGCTCGAGAAGCTTCCCGAGACGTGTTTCAACTGTTGTTCTGGGTATTTTATTTTGGAAGGAACCCAATGTTTTATATTACTTGTTTGGCGAACTAATAAAGTGTTCCAATAAATAGATTTGGTCTCACAATGAAGCACACCCGATTAAACCTTCTCATTATGAAGCAATAAGATTATCTTTTATATGTTAAATCTTTGTCACGGTTAAATCATCCCAACTGCACACATATTGAGACTGATTTTTAAGATTACTTTTGAGATATTTAGCAAACAATGATTTTAATTTATCATTAAAATTCGAATTTCTTCCCAGTCTAAGCAGCAACGTCGAAAAGGTGTGCTGGTTAATCACGTGGACAAGGAGAATCGTGAGGATTATCCTCCGGGTGACGGTTCATTTAATGGAATTCCTCTGCTTTTGGAGATTAACCCGCTGGTCTCAAAGGGGGTCGACTCGAGCGCGTGGGGATCAGCTACGCCACATTGTTCACCGTCATGACAATATTATATAAAAATATACTTACATTTATTATGTAAAAATACATTTAAAAAAGCAAAAACCTGTACGTGGAAAAATCCCCAAATCCAGTAATGGAAAGAAAGCCGCTGTACGTCATCACTTAGCCAGATCTGGAGGTCGGCCTCACAGAGCTGTGACGCCACTAAGCCCCGATTTATCTTCTTTTTGAAGCACCGCTGATCCGTTAACGAAGCTTAACACTTCTCAGCGCAATACTTTGTCCCACAATCCCAACTCTATCAGTGGTAAACGTATTACCTGAAAGCGAGACAAGAGCGGAAAGGAAGACTCTCGACAGCTTAAGGTGTATAACAATTTCTGATTTATTGAATACATTGTGGAGGGAGGTCAAGGGCCAATACTTCATCTCACACTTTACAAGGTTTTACAAGGACGGAGGTCTGCTCTGCGATGGCCACCACTTCAGCTAGCTAGAACATCAAACGCGTGCGACTGTGCCACATGGAGGAGCTGGAAACCGTGAAAGACAACAAAACTCAACAATAACAAGCTTACAGTTCAACTTACAGGTTGGTTCACCCCCCAGTTAGATAGAGACTAGGCTGCCTAGAGGAGAGGAGGAACATGTTCATGGGTCAACTAACTCTAACCCGTACCGACCAGTTGCTACGACACACCTGCACAATTACACCATCGCCAGATATGTACTCTAAACACTTTTCAGCTTGAGAAAGACGGTTTTGCGCCTCAACTATCGCGACTCATCGCGTCAACGAGGTCAATGCATCGACTCTCCTTTGTGGTTTTCAGATCGGCCGATTTCGTTTGAACCGCGTGATACAGAAAGCATTGATTGGGTAACGCGTGATTTAAAAAAAAAAAAAAGAACTCCTGGAGGAGATTGTGATCCCGGCAAGGGAGCGAAGGACGAGTTACTTCGCAGGCGAGTACTGAATCAAGCGAAGAGCGTCGTCGTTCTCCAACACGCCCTGGATGAACTCTCCCTCTGCCACTCGCTCTGCAGGGAGGAGAAGAGGAGGAGGAGGAGGAGGAGGTCACTTCAGGGTCATGGAAGTTTGATTAAAAGAAGCACACTCGTCTATTAATGCAAATGTTTCAGTCATTGTCGATTAATGGAAACTTTGTTTTTCTACTGGAGGTTCTCTGTACTCAATCATCTGATTCAGCTGCTGCTGAACGCTGTCGCACGGACGTTACGCCTCTGTAGTCGCTTTGTGTCTCTATAAAGGCACTTTGCATTTAGTGTCGTTGTTTGGTAT